TCCAGGAAAACCTCAAAATTCAAAGTAGAGTTCTACTGACTAGTTGCTGCTTTCGCACCATCAAGAACTTGAAAGTAGACATTTTTGGGGTGGGTAGTGGCCTGCCTGTGTTTTAAGCTTTTTCTGATTTTTTGCTATCAAAAATCATAACTAACAGCTACATTGTTGCACCTTAGCTTTTCAGCACAGTCCTCATTATTTCCTTAGAATCAAGTCCTGGCAGGGGAGTGGCCAGTATTCAGGTGAAAGGCGCTCCTCTGCAGCCTCTCACGCTGGTGCACGTGGAAAAGCCGGGTGGCTGTGCTCCCCCTGGCTGTGGGCAGGAGGCAGTGGTCCCTCCAGGGAAGAGCCTCCCAGCAGGGACCTACGGATGAGGAACTAGCCACTGACCAGAATGTGATTCTCCCGGCCAGAACAATCACCACGAGGAGAGCATCTCCTCCAAGATGAAGGGCTTGAACGGCAAAGTGTCGGACTTGGAGAAGGCTGCGGCCCAGAGGAAGGCGAAGCTTGACGAGAACTCGGCCTTCCTTCAGTTCAACTGGAAGGCTGACGTTGTGGAGTCCTGGATCGGTGAGCAGTGACGGGCGAGGCCCCGGGCCCTAGCCAGGGGAGCCAGCTGGTCTCCTTCCTCGGCAGTCGGCTCTGCCACAGGAGTCCGTAAGCTGAGGCCTGCGCAGCTGCAAGCAGCAGGTGACACCCGAGCAGAGTGGGCTCTAGTTACATGGCCAGGTCGCTGCAGCCCCCTGCCATGAGGAATTAGGCTTCGGGACCCCTGTGACCTGGGTGGTTGCTGTCCCATAAGTAGCAACTGAACCACATCTGGGACGGGCAGGAAGGACCTCTTCACGGCGAGGCAGAGGGTGGGGCCTGGGGTCCAGGGAGGAGCCAGCAGATGTGGGCTCACGACTATTGTTAGGAATATTGGGGTTTAAATGTGAAGGGACTGTGATCCTCTGCTTTCCTGTTAATTCACCTCGCTGCACCGAGAGTGCGCTCCATCTCCACACTTGGCTTTCTAGGTGAAAAGGAGAATAGCTTGAAGACGGACGATTACGGCCGGGATTTGTCGTCTGTCCAGACTCTCCTTACCAAGCAGGTCAGTGGGGGTCACTTCGCTGGTGGCTGACATTTCTCAAATGCCTCTTCCCGGCGGGTGGCTGTGGACTGCATCTGAGACCGAGACCAAGACCACTCCCTATTGGGCCCTGTGGCCTCCAGACCAGGCCCCTGTGCTGATCTGAGAGTGCTGAGCACACAGCACATGATGTGGCGTCGCCCAAGACGGACCTGGCCAGTTTCCAGCAGGCCAGGGGGATGGGACAGGTCTTCTAGGAGGCGACAGAATCTGAGCTAGGTCAGATCACGACAGGTGGACTGAGTGGGGCGCTTGTTCTAGGCAGAGGTGGTGGGGGACCCCAGTGCCTCAGTCTGCCTAGAGTACGGGGGCCACTGAGGTGGAAGGCGGTGGACAGGCAGCGGCCAGCTGTCTGAGGAGATGCTGTGGAGCGGTTGGCGACAGTTTGGCTGGGCAGATGCTGGTACCATCTGAGCTGAGATACCCAGAAAGAGTTCAGGTTGCAGACCGGCTTCTCCTTGTTCCAGGAAACCTTTGATGCCGGCCTGCAGGCCTTCCAGCAGGAGGGCATTGCCAACATCACCGCCCTCAAAGATCAGCTGCTGGCCGCCAAGCACATTCAGTCCAAGGCCATCGAGGCTCGGCATGCCTCCCTCATGAAAAGATGGAGCCAGCTTCTAGCCAACTCAGCCACCCGGAAAAAGAAGCTGCTAGAAGCTCAGAGTCATTTCCGTAAGGTAGGGTGGCCCCCACAGAGCTCAGCTGGCCCAGCGTGCAGGGCGGGCAGGCCCAACTTCTGTGGGCGGCATTCTGCTGCATCTCAGCACGGAGGTCAAACAGGGCCTGGAGGCGGCTGCAGCCACAGAGGATGCCCCCAGCACAGGGAGAGGGCAGAAAGGACTCGCAGAAGTGGGAAGAAGGCGGCAGGGAAGGGAACCAGTCCTCCTCACCCTGAGCCCTGGGGCACTGCCCTGCCCTTCCCACTCGACACCCCTGGGCTGCCCTCCTGCCCAGCCCTCGCAGCTGTCCCAGCTTAGCCTCCTTGGTTGCAGGTGGAGGACCTCTTCCTGACCTTCGCCAAGAAGGCTTCAGCCTTCAACAGCTGGTTTGAAAACGCAGAGGAGGACCTGACAGACCCGGTGCGCTGCAACTCCCTGGAGGAGATCAAAGCCCTGCGTGAGGCCCACGACGCCTTCCGCTCCTCCCTCAGCTCAGCCCAGGCTGACTTCAACCAGCTGGCCGAGCTGGACCGCCAGATCAAGAGCTTTCGCGTGGCCTCCAACCCCTACACCTGGTTCACCATGGAGGCGCTGGAGGAGACCTGGAGGAACCTGCAGAAGATCATCAAGGTGCCCTTCCCGCTGGGGCGGGGCTCTTCCCACTGGGACAGGGATGCGGGGGGCACAGGCCTTGGGTGCCACCCACTGCTCGGCCCGCCAGTCCCTTCCCCCTGTGCCAGCCATTCCTGCTCCTCCCAAACTCTAAGGCCAGCGGGTCAGTTCCAGAGGGTGGCGCCACGTCCACTCTGCGCCTACCCCGGAGGTGGGCCGAGGGTCAACGGCTCTGCCTCCTTGGCTGCTAGGAGCGGGAGCTAGAGCTACAGAAGGAGCAGCGGCGGCAGGAGGAGAACGACAAGCTGCGCCAGGAGTTCGCCCAGCACGCCAACGCCTTCCACCAGTGGATCCAGGAGACCAGGTGCCGCCCGCCCTGCCCCCTGGCTCCGTAGCTCCGGGGTGGGGCCTGCGCTGGCCGGAGTGGGCAGAGGGCTGTATGGGGACTTGGCCCAAGGCCCTGGGGCCGGGTCCTGGGCTCGGTGGGACTGGGCACGGCCCAGAGTAGGCAGGACCTGGAGCAAATGGCGCAGGCGACTGCAGCGTGGTTGCTGACGTTCTTGGTTTTGTTCTTTTTTTGTTCTTTGTCTCTGTCCCCACCTCCCACTGCTGCTGCTGCCACCACCAACCCCCAACTCCACCTGGACTACCGGCGGCCTGGACGCCATCACCACAGAACGTATCTCCTCGATGGGTTAATATTGTCTTATTTCTCTGGGCCCGTGGTGTGGTGGTGTCTTGTGTGCTTGTTCCTCCGCCCCCGGCCCCCCTGTGGTCTGGCTTGCAGAGGATCCCAGGATGGGCCTTCCTGCCCAGGGCCGCTGCTCCCCCAACTCCCCCCTGAACAGCCTGCGGTCAGCGGGGGGAGGGGGGAGAGGGGAGCCACTTCCCCCCTTTGTTCCCGCCCCAGGGGTGCCCTCAGGTCAGGGGTGTGATCATGCCGGAGGCCAAAGCCTCAGGATCCCCATGCTTGCTCGGTGCCTGGATGCTACCAGACTCCTGCCTCTGCTTTCCCAGTGTCCCCTCCAGACCACGCGTAGCCCCTAGGAGATCAAAGGCATGAAGCAGGAAGCCAGTGTATGGGGACTCTCCCGGAGGGGGGAGGCAGTACCCTTTGCCCTCATAGAAAGCAGAGGTGCCAAGGCTTCCAAGTGATGCAGACAGGGCTCGGGAGGAGCCCCCAGAGGAGCAGGACTGTCCATTCCTGCGCCCCCAGGCCTGGGCCTCTGCCCAGGTCGTCATCTTGTCCTCTCCCAGGCCCACTGAGGGCCAGGTCAGTGGGCCGCAGCGGCTCAGGCTAGCTCTCCTGAGCCTCTGCAGACAGGTAAATCGGGTACTTAAAGGTGGCGATGGGAGAATAAGGTCACCCGGCCCAGCCACGCTCGCAGAGGGGAGCGGAGTGGGTCCAGGGACCGCAGCTTCTAACTTGAGCTCTGAGCCGCCCTGGCGCCCGCGCCCCTCCCGCGCCAGCTGGTCTGGGTCTCGTCTCCGGGAGGTGCCAGCTCCTGTCCGCGTGCCTCCTCCCCAGCCCTGTCCAGCGTGCGCTGGTGCCAGGCTGCCTGTCCCGGCAGGCTGGCCACGGGCACCACCTCCACCGGTCCCCGCCTGCGCACCGCCAGCCTGGGCCTGTGGCGTGTCTGTCTCGTGTGCTCGCGCCCCTCCTCTGGTGTATTCATTTGGTTTCTTTTCTTTGACTAGCATAGCGTATCGTCGGGTCATTCGTGTCTATCAATATGAAGTTGGGGATGATCTGTCTGGAAGGTTCTTCTCCTTATTTCTCTCTTACCTCACTGTGGTTTACCGATGCACTCTTGACTTCCCCAGGCGGCTCCGCTTTCTGACTAACCCACCACCCTCGGCCGCTTGGGAAGAGGGGTCTGTCCCCCTCCCACTGCACCTGCACCCAGCCTCCCGCCCCCAGGTCCCGGGGGTGTGCTTTCCCTGGGGGACGTGGCGTGACTGTGAGTCTGATCCGCGGGGGTAGGAGGAAGCCCAGTGCCTTGCCTTGCTAGAGCACTTTGAACTCGGGGAGCCGGCCTAGCTAATCCTGGCTCGCTGGCTGTCAGAGGGAAGGTTGGGGCAAACAGGGGTTCCCGGGAGGCTGGGCTGAAACCCCACCGTGGACACACGCAGTGTGACTTGTCGTTCACGTAACCCCAACTCGTTTGTTGTCTTCGTTCACTGGTGCCCTTCTGTGACCTCGCACTGTGCTGCGTCAGGAGGTGGGGGCTCCCCGGAGCCCTCTGCCCTGCAGGGGCGGGCCCTGGAAGGAGGCTCCAGCGCTGACTGTCTCTAGCTCCGCAGCTGCATCCGGGGCTCAGGCACAGCCACCGCCACCTCCAGGCTAAATGACAGCCACGTTCAAAACCCCGATCTGGCCATGCTCTCAGCACACCCAGAGGGGTGCCTCTCCCCCCACTGCTGTCACCCTAGAATGTGGCTTCCCCCCGCAGGAACCTGCTGGAGACCCCAGGGATTTTCAGGGCTGCCTGGCACCTCTCTGCCTCCCCTCCCCGAGGCCTCTCCCCCCCTCCCCCAGGTGGCAGGCGAAACGGCCTCTCTGTTCCCCTGGGGAAACAGACGGGCTGCTGAGGCCCCCACCCCCGCCCGGGCTTGGCCAGGCACTGTGTCACACCCGCTGGGCCTGAGGCGTCACACGACAGAGGGTCCAGGCCAGGGAGCAGGCGGGGCTGTGCCACCGTGAGCCGCAGCGTCCCTGCCCTCCCTGGCTCCCGTGGCCACTTAGAAGGGAGCTGGTGGGTCCTACTTCCTTCTATAAGGAACGTGAGGCCTCCAGGCACTGGTTTACCCGGTAGCGCGGCATTTGGAGCTCGGGACGTGCCGCCCTCAGGCCGCGCTCCTCACTGCACATCTGTGTCTAGGTCCTGCATGGTGGAGGAGTCCGGGACCCTGGAATCCCAGCTGGAAGCCACCAAAGTGAGTGCCTGCTCGGTTGGAGGTGCAACAGAGGGGCTGGCCGGGTCTCCCTTTTATTGGCTTAATCAGGACCCTGTTGTTTCAGCCTTTGTCTCTGATGGGGGGGCGGGGGGGGGCCTTTTGTCCTCGCCACGGTGTCCTGCAGGGGCTGACCTGCGGTGACTGGTCACGGAGGCCTTCCCGCTCCCAGCCCTACGAGGCCGCGGGCCAGGCTGGCGGAGCCAGGGCGACAGGGCTGTTAAGCAGGCCCGTGGAGCCGCGCCCCATGCCTTTCTGCCTCCTCCCTGCAGCGCAAGCACCAGGAGATTCGCGCCATGAGAAGTCAGCTCAAGAAGATTGAGGACCTGGGGGCCGCCATGGAGGAGGCGCTTATCCTGGACAACAAGTACACGGAGCACAGCACCGTGGGCCTGGCCCAGCAGTGGGACCAGCTCGACCAGCTGGGCATGCGCATGCAGCACAACCTGGAGCAGCAGATCCAGGCCAGGTGGGCCCAGGCGGCAGCGCGGGGGGCGGTCCGAGCCACAGGCCACCCGGCTCCAGCAGCTGGGGGCCTGGGGGGGAACAGAACGTGTCCCGTGCTGCGTGGGGCGGAAGGCAGTCCTGATTCCGTCCTTCCTTGCAGGAACACAACGGGGGTGACCGAGGAGGCCCTCAAAGAGTTCAGCATGATGTTCAAGTAAGTATCCCCGCGCCCTCCCCAGCTGGGGAGGCAGCAGCCCCGGGCCTGGGTGCTGAGCTGCCCTTGGCTTTGTGCCGCAGACACTTTGACAAGGACAAGTCCGGCCGCCTGAACCACCAGGAGTTCAAGTCCTGCCTGCGCTCCCTGGGCTATGACCTGCCCATGGTGGAAGAAGGGGAGCCCGACCCGGAGTTCGAGGCGATCCTGGACACTGTGGACCCCAACAGGTGAGCGTCGGGGCAGCCGTGGGGGCACCTCCGCCTCCAGCTGCCCCGCCTGCCCCTCATGGCACCCGCTTCTCCCCAGGGATGGCCACGTCTCCCTGCAGGAATACATGGCGTTTATGATCAGCCGCGAGACGGAGAACGTCAAGTCCAGCGAGGAAATCGAGAGCGCCTTCCGGGCCCTGAGCTCCGAGGGGAAGCCCTACGTGACCAAGGAGGAGCTGTACCAGGTGCGGGCCCCGGGTTGGCGGTGCTCAGGCCCCACTTTGGAGCCCTGCCCTGCCCGAGCGGGGGTTTTGGGCCTGGCTACCATGAAACGCTCTGGGCCAAGTCTCGAGCCACCGACAGGCTGGGCCCGAGCGGCCTGGACGGTCTGCCCGGCCTCCCTGCTCGGGCGCGGCGGGCTGACGGCGCCGTCTTCCCCCAGAACCTGACTCGGGAACAAGCCGACTACTGCGTGTCCCACATGAAGCCCTACGTGGACGGCAAGGGCCGCGAGCTCCCCACCGCTTTCGACTACGTGGAGTTCACCCGCTCGCTCTTCGTGAACTGACCCCGAGCTCCCGGTTGGCCCGGCCCACGCTGCTTGCTGCATGTCGACTCTGCGCCCTTCAGTATTCCAGTGTTGCTCTCCAGTGTAGCCTTGAGCCCGCTTAGCCTTGGGGTAAGAGTGAGTAGAAACGGTGCTTCAATAAGCCGCTTCCTGTCCCGTCGCTGTCACCACGTTGCCGTGGGCGCCCAGTGCCTGCCGCGAAGCAGCCGCCCATTCCGACGTCAGAAAAACCTAAGCTGCTGGCTGCCTCCCTCCGTCTCCCTCCCTCGATTTTGTTTTCATGTAAAAGACAAATAAATGACTCCCCCGCAAGCTTGTCTTGTCTTCATTCAGCCCCCGTCAAAAATACATAGCTCGGCCTCGCCCACCTGCCTCTGGGCTGGGGCTGCTGGCGCCCCCGCCTCAGGCGGCCACCTCTGCCGCCAGCCGGTCCAGGTCCTCGGGCTCCCGGGCTCCCTGCTCGGTGAACTCGGAGCTCAGCTGCCACACCTTCACCGCGCCCTGGGCGTCGCCCGCCGCCAGGAGCTGGGTCTGCTGGCTGTTAAACTCCAGACAGTAAACCGGGCTTTCATCCTGGGTCTGCTGGATAGAAACCGTGGGCCTCTGGGAGTTTTTCTGGAGGTCAAACAGCTGCACGTCCCCTTCAGGGAGAGAGGGAGGAGGGGTCAGGCGGGTCCCGCCTCAGCCTCTCCAGAGCGCCCCCTGCCCCTGGGAGAAAGGGAGGCCACGGCAGGAAGTCAGGTGAGGCCAGGTGAGCTCTCCCAACCTGGGGTTGCAGGATTGCGCTGGGCCCGCGTCGCCTACGCAGACCCTCGCCCAGGGACCCATCCCCTACCTTCCCCAGAAGCGGCAGCAAACACCAGCGGGCGCACCGGGGACCAGCGCACGGCGAACAGGTACTTATGGGACAGCCGCAGGGAGGTCAGGGGCTGGGCCTGCAGCATGGAGTACAGGTGGACGTGGCCGTCGGTGCCTGCGCTCAGGAAGAGATTCCTACACGCGAGCAGGGAGAGCCGGAGGGGGTGAGTGCCGGGTGGGGGCGGGCTAAGCCTCTGCCGGGCCCCTCCCTGAAAAGCCTCCCCCAAACCTGGGGCCAGTCCTCGCCCAGTTCCCCGGAGACCAGGGCTCACGTGGGGTGACCTGGGCAGCTCCCTGGTGTGGCCCTCACCACCACCCCCACCCGTGCCCGTGACCCCGGGGCTGACGGCGGCACCGCCTCAGGCCGGGGCCTTCCCTACCTGTGGAAGGGGGAGCAGCTCACAGAGTAGACGGGCCCGCCGTGGGGAGAGAAGGTGAACTGCGCAGGGGCCCTCAGGGGCACAGAGCTGGGCATCCGGGTGAGGGCGGCCTCCTCCACTGCCAGGGAACACTTGAGCGGGAAGCCGCCTTCCGTGCCCACGACAAAGAGGCTGGGGTCGAAGCTGGAGAAGGCCACTGCCGTGGCGCCCACCTGGGTCTCCCCGCGGTGAGGCTGCAGAGTCACAGGGGCGGTCACGGGCTCCGGTGCACGCTGGGCCCCAAGAGGTCACGCCGCAGGCCCAGCTCAGCTGGCCCCCCGGCGGCCCTGCCCTTCCACCCCCAGGCTGGCCTCCTCGGGGACGTCCCGCCGGCCAGGGCCTCAGTCCCGCGCACCTTCTTGAGCTTGGTGTTCCGCGGGAGCTGCTGCACCACCAGGGCGAACCCCTCCGTGAGCTGCAGCTGGCCGGCCCCGGCCCCCTGCCAGAGCAGCACCTTGCCGTCGGTGGCCACGCTCAGCAGCTGGAAACGGTGGCTGTGCCGGGGCTCTGCCAGCCACAGCACCTGGGAAGAAGGTCAGGGCCAAGGCTGGAAAGGGCGTCCTGCCCCCACCTCCGAACAGGACCAGGTGTCACATTCCACCCGCCTTCTCTTCCAGGAAATAAGGGACAATGCTGGGGGAGGCCAGGCAGCCAGCCTCACCCTCAGGGGCATGACCGGAGGGTCCCCAGGGCCCTCCCCCAGCAGAAGCCAGGACGCAGAGCCCCTCGCTGCAGCCCGCAGGAGGCTGGGGGTGGCCTGGGCCTGCGGTGACACGCGCGCCGAGAGCTCGAATGCACAGCAGCCGCCAGCTCCCCGGTGCCGTCGCCCTCCCGCAGGGCCAAGCCAGGTGGCTGCCTTCCCTCCCGCCCTGCCCCAGGGGCGGGCCCGTGCCGGCCGGACCTGAGGCGGCTCTGACCTGGTACACGGGGTCCGTGTGGGTGTCGTCGGTCAGGCCCGTGCGCCAGAGCAGCGGGTCCTCGGGGCGGCCGGTGTCCCACACCAGCACCTCGCCGCTGTACAGGCCCCCTGCGGCAGCGAAGGGGCTGAGCAGGAGCAGACCGCGCCCTGCAGCCGGCTCCTGGCCAAGCACCTGCCCCGCCGCCCACCCGGAAAACCGCCCCAGGAGGCGCGGCCCTGCGGCCCCACCCCTCAGTCTACTGTGGGGCCCAGCACTGGCCTCCTTCTGCATGACCCCGCGCCCACGGCCCAGCAGGCGCAGCCCCTACCCTCAGGCCCGGCCCGCCCAGCGCTGCTCCCTCCTGGCTGCAGCTCCACGCCCCTCCCGGGCCCTCGTACATCCCGGCCTGGGGGCTGAGGGCCCAGTGGAGAGCCACTGACCTGCGATGTGGGACGGCTGTGTGGGGTGGAAGGCCAGGCACATGACGGCGCTGGGCACCTCCACCACCACCGAGGGCTGCCGGGGGTTCAGGCCGCGCCGGTCCAGGTTCCAGGCGCACACGAAGGCCTTCAGGGTGCTCCAGTCCCCGTCATCCAGCCTGTGGGGATGCGCCGCGCTGGCCCCGCCGCCCTCCTGGCTCCCAGCCCGTCACCCCACCCACCCCGGCCCACCACACGCACAGGCCCAACCAGCACAAGCTCATCCAGGGCACCCCAAGAAAAGGGAACCCAGGAACCAAGGATGGGCCCGTGACATGGCAGGGGGGCCCACTTGGCCAAGTCGGGGAGCAGCTCATGGAGAAGGGGTGGGGTGGCTGCCAGTGGGCGTGGGGCGAGCAGGGAAGGCGGCCGGCTGGCAGGCAGCAGGCGCCCTCGGGGCCAGCAGCCCTCCCTCCCCTCCAGCCAGGGCCAGCGCTGCCGGGCAGCCCCGCGCAGACAGCCCCGGGACGGGAGAGACGGGTGCAGGTGAGGGCCCGAGGTGCTCCCCGAGCCCCGACACCCCACCCTACGCACCGGCCGTAGGCGCAGGCCACCACGGAGCCGGTGGTGTTCCAGGACACGCTGGTCACGTGCAGCCCCCGCGCCTGGGCCGGGGGGTAGCCCAGGGTGTGCAGGCAGGTCACCTGCAAGCGACGAAGACACCAACCTTGAGGCCCGATCCGCCCAGCAGGGCGCCCCATGGCGACCAAAGCCACACAGGCCTGGGCCTGGGCCCTGAGTGGCTCGTGTCCACTGCTCGCTCGGGGGGTCAGGTGCCAAAGAGGACGCGGCCAGAAACCCGGAGGGAGAGGTGCTGAGGGGCGGCCCTCGGCACCTTCCCCGGACACCCTCCCACGGCTCTGGCTTTGGCGGGGAAGGGCGGGCCCAGCAAAGGGCCTGTACTCGGTGCCACGGAGACCCACTTAGCAATGGTGATGGGGTCCCGTAAGGTCACAGGGAGGCACCTCACGCGCAAAGAAGGCTGTGGAAGCCCCGGCGCCCGGCGTCTCAGCGCGCGGCAGCCCGAAGCCCGAGGGAGAAGGCGGCAGAGGCTGGCGCTGGGAGGACCAGGCCAGACGCTCTGGAAGGCGAGTGCACACGGGCCGCAGCTCCTGGGAGAGCTCTGCGCTGCTTCCCTCAAGAAACCTCCCAGGAAAGCAACAAAGTCCGCACAAAGACCATGCGGCGGGAGGGCTGATGTCCTGTGCCTTCCCCAGGGCAGGAGAGATGGGGGTGGGGGGGCAATAGCCGCACCCCCTCAGTCTCACACACACACCCACCCCCCCACCCCCCACCCTGGGCACTGCACAGGACGGCGGGCTCTAGAGGTGAAGCGGATGCCTGGGATTCCGCGCCTGGGCCTGAGGCGGAGCGTCTGCACCTGCAGCCGCTGGGAGGGCCCTCGCGGGAGACGGAGGACGAGGGGACGGCGGGCCGCACGGCGCCGTCCCCGTCCTTGGGAAGTTCTCCCTGACGAGGCGGCGACAGGCACTGCGTGTCGCTCCTGCACGGGACAGGCCAAGGCTGCGCGGCCTGCCCCCCGCCGGGCGTTCCATGAAGACTGGGCCGCTTGTGGGGAACGTGGCTGCTTCCGTGACCAGAACACCCTGTAAAGGGGCGGAGGCCGGCACTCGGAAGGCGGCTGGGAAATGGGGCGTCGGCAGCAGGAGAGGCCAGAGCAGGCGGAGTGCAGACACTCCCCGGGTTCCTCCTGCGGAGGCTGCGCGAGACACCAGCGCTCGGGGCGGCCGCGGGGCCCTGCCGACTTTTTCAGAGCGATTCTGAGGATTCCTCTCAAACCAACCAACTCTCCAAGGCCTGCCAGCGATTTGGCGGGCACAGGGCGGCCGCCAGCACGGCGCGGGGAGGCAGGAGGACGGGCTGAGCTCACGACCACTGGAAACACACTTAACTCAGTGGCGAAAGGACGAGAACATCGCATGACCGTAGGTTTGACCAGGAACATGGAGGCTGGCGTGGCGGGGTGGGTGGCCCTTCACGCGGAGGCTCCCGCATGGGACGCTGAGGCTGTGCCCGGGGCACTTCGGGGTTCACTGGGCGGCACTCAGGGCCGGGTCTTCTCCAGACCCCTGGAGGTGCTGGGGCCCAGAGCACAGCAGGGAAACCAGGCAGACCAGGCCTGTCACAGCTGTGCGACCCTGGCCGGGTCACTTAGCCTCTCTGATCCCCGTCCACCAAGTGGAGCTCCTGCAGTTGCCCTGAGGAGTAAGTGAAAGCCCAGACTCCCTAGCGCCTGAAGGGGGCTGATCCAGAATGAGCTTCCCTGGTTCAAATCTCGCCTCCACTGGCTGCTAGTTCACTGTGATTCTGGAAAAGTTACTTCGCCTCCTGGTATCCGTCTCAAGTATAAAATGGAGGTCAAGGCTGCACCTCCTTCAACGACGGCAGGGAAGGCGCTGTGATTTATAAAACTAACTCAGGTCAGAACCTGGCAAAAGGTAAGAGCTGGGTGAACGCTGGTGCCATTATGGGGACCGTTGTGACTGGGGCTGCAAAAGGGGAGGGCGAGGCATGGAGGGAGGCTGGACCTGCGGCCTTGGAGGGAGACAGCGGCCCAGCCCGCACCCGCCCTCCACCCCGCCCGTGTGGCTCCCCTACCGTCTGCTGCTGCTCCGTCCAGTTCACCTCAAAGCCGTCAAAGGCGTGGCTCTGCCAGTTCTTGTTCAGCTCTCGAATAACCAGGGGCTCCACTCGGCGAAGAAAGGCTGCCAGCCGCGGGCCTTCGTGCCGGGACACAGCCAGCACGCCGGCCGGCGCCAGGGCCTGCGTCTGCACCTCGGCGTCCGCATGCTTCCGGGTCTGGGCCGACGCCTCGGCCGTGGCGATGCTGGCCGTCTGGCAGCTTTTCTGGGGGAGGAGAATGACACTGAGCAGTCGCAACTGGTGGGTAAGGTGGGGAGACTGGCGCTGGGGGTCAGGAAGTACATGAGCCCCTCGACTCTCCGAAACGCGCCAAGGAGAAGTAATGCACGGCCTGTAACGCAGCCGGCAACGCCAGTGTCAAAGTCACTGAAAGGGAGTCATTTCTCCTGCCGGCCACTGGCGCTGCAGGCCACCGTTGACCTTTCACCTGGAGCGAACGGCCTATGTCAATCACTCTTCAATTTCAAAACCCAAGAGCAGTCCCCGCTGGGCTGCGCGCGCCGGTCACCGCCCCGGCTCGCCCTCCCCCCGGCTGAGCACCCGCTTCCGCGCCCTTTCTGCTCAGGCCAGCGGAGCTGCTGCTTCCGTGCGCCCAGAGTCTGGCGCTTCCTCTAGGAGCTAGTCCATCTCTGGAAGAGGAACCCAGTCTGCCCGGTGTGAAGACCCCTCCACCCTCCTGGCCCACGGAGGAACCACAGGGACCCCCAGCTTGCCAGCCAGAGCGCTGGCCCACCCCCAGACTACAGTGAGTGGTTCAGGGCGCCACATGACCCAGAACAAGCCTGACATTGGAAGGGAGCCAGGAGTGCCCGTTCTGAAGATGCCAACAGCTGAAAAGCACGTCATCTTAGAGCTGGCACGCGGGGAAGCTGAGATCTGCAGAGCACTCGCTGGCTTCTCCCTGCCCTGGCAGTGCCTCTTGGGGGCCGGGGTACCTGCCAAGGCCCCGCGTGACCGCAGGCAGCACGCGTGTGCATGGGGAGCAAGTTGGCAGGAGGCAGGCTACTCCCCACCTGCCCGCTCCGCACCCTGCCAGCCGCTCCACCCTCGCCCCTAGGCGGGCTGAGGCTCCGGCCAGGGAAGGAGCTGCCAGTCGCCGTTTCTCACGGACATGGGCCTTCCCAGCGGGCCTCTGTCTCCACTTGCCAGGCACTGCCTGGGCGCAACGGATGGAGCAGAAACTGTGAAAGAGTCCCGCGCCCGGGAGGAGGCTGTTGGCGACAAGAACTGATCAAATGATCAAATGCACACGGCGCCAGCGCTGGCGGCACTGAGGGCAAGAGGGGCGCGGCCAGGGAGGCCGAGGTGGAGGGGGGGCCCCCGGGCAGCACTCGGCAGGCAGCAGAGCAGGACAAGGACAAGCGCTGCGGGAAGGAGTGTCCGGGCGGGGCGCAGGGCGGGCTCCGATGCTGGCCCAAGGGAGGCGGCACGTGGGGGCCACCAGGGGTCTGAGCGCCAAGAGGGCAGGTTTCCAGCAGGTTTCCTTGGGTGTAAGTGCAGGACCCCACAAACAGGGTCAGGACCTGAACCCGGGACGGCCCCTCTGGCTGCTCAGGAGAAAGCAGGGTGTGAGGAGGAGGCTGGCAGCCCAGGCGGGGGGGGGGGGGGTTTGACCGTGGCAGAGAGGGTGTGGTCGCAGAGGTGGGGGCCCCAGGGGCTCCAAGATGTTGAGGACAGAGAGTGGAAAGGACGGGATGGGCTGGGAGCACAGACAGGCGGGGAGGTGTCCCAGCAGCCCCTGTGCTGTCTGCTTTGAGAACAGGTGACAGGCGTCTGTGGGTGCTGGCCGGCCCCCCTCCAGGAGACGCCTCCCAGACATCCACAGGCAGGGGTCGGAACGCCCCAGAGCAGTCAGAAGGCTCTGGAAAGTGCCAGACGAGATGGGACTTGGAAGCCACAGGCCTGGAGGTGGCCACGAGGGAGCCGCACGCCGAGGAAGGAACGGCCGGCTCAGGATCGGGGCGCGCACACACGTCTCACATCCAGGCATCGCGGGTGAGGCTCAGACTTCTAGACGCCACGAGGACGGGCGCGGGACCAGCTAGCTCTGTCCCCAGAGCTTCACAGGGTCACCTGACCTCACAGCCACCCTCTCAATCAAATCCTGTTTTTATACGCCTGCGGTGGCGCCGCGGACAGAGAAGTTAAACAACTCCCCGACGGTCGCACAGCAAGAGCCTGAACCCGGCAGCCCGGCCCGACACTACACGGCCCTCCTGAGGCATCTTCTCCCGGCCGTCTAGATCCCGCCCCGATCCCACCGGACAAACTCGATGCAGCGTTTCCCAGAGAATGTGGCACGATGGTCTCAGTATAAAAATTCCTGTAAAATCACAAACACACGAAGAGAAGCTTAACATCACCGATCACTGAGGGACTCAAGCCACGGGAGAAACCACCCCCATCGGGGGCTGCGGCCAAGAGCAGAAAACTAGCGCTGGTGAGGACACGGAGAATCGAACCCTGGGCACTGCTGGGGGAATGCTACAGTGCAGTGCAGCCACCGGGGAAAAGAGAATGGAGCGGCCCCCAAATTAAAGACAGAACTTCCATGGGCCTCCCCTGGTGGCGCAGGCGGTTGAGCGCAGCGCTGTGAAACTGTCCGCAGCCTCTGCAGCGCGGGTTTGATCCCGGCCGGCTGGCGAGAATCCCACCTGGTGCGCAGACCGCTCCTGTCTCCCCGCTGCTCCCCTCAGCAGTGTCTTTCATCAGTCTGTACCCGGATTCTTGTCTGTGTGAATAAATTTTTTTTTTTTTAAAGATTGATTTACTTATTTATACAAGCACTGGGTACAGTCAGAAGCACGGGAGGGCGAGAGAATTCACCAGAGCCAGAGCGGGGAGCAGAACAGGCAGAAGGACCGAAGTACACTGCTGAGGGGAGCAGCGGGCGGCAGGAGAGGTCTGCGCGCCATGCGGGACCCTCACCGGAGGCCGGGTATCGAACTGGTATTGCAGAGGCTGCGGGCAGCTTCGCAACCCAGCGCTCAACCGCTGCGCCACCGGGGAGGCCCCCATGAATAAATCTTAAAAAAAAAGAACTTCCATCAGATCCAGCAAGTCTACTTCTGGGTCTGTACCCCAAAGACCCAAAAGCAGGGTCTCAGAGACACTGTGCGACCGTATTCACAGCAGCATCACGCGCAAGAGCCGAAGACAGACACCACCCAAGTGTCCAGCGACCACCCAATGGGTGGGCACAACGTGGCCATCGATGGGGAGGAATATTATTCAGCCTTGAAAAAGGAAATTCTGCCCCTGCTATGACACGACACGGATGAGCCCAGGGGAGAGGACACCAGTGAAGCACGGCGGTGACAGGACAAACACTGTGATCCCGCCTACATGAGGAGCCTGGAGTCGCCCAGAGTCAGCGTGGAATGGTGGGAGGGCAGGGACCAGGGCTGGGGGCCAGTCAGGACACAGTGGGGCCAGCGCTCCAGACTGACAAAGCGAAGAGTTCTGGGAACAGAGGGCAGCTGGTGACGGCTGCGCAACCACGTGCAGACTGGACAGCAGCGAACCGTCCAGAGACAATGGTTAAGGAGGAAAACATAAAAGGTCAAAATGGTAAATTTTGTTTTAACACAACAAAAAAAAGTGAAAAAAAAAAAAATCACCCAAGCAAAAATGTCCACAGAGCACATTCTGCACAGCTGTCTGCACCCCTCGGCATCCCTGCAGGGCCTGCTGACGCAGGCAAGTGGGCAGAAGCCAAAGGAGACTTCTGGAAAGAGAACAACGCGCAGCCAATGACACCGCACGGGCACTTCCTTCTGCGGACTGCCAAGAAACCAGCGTCAGTATCTGTTCACCCTGGGGCGCCTGCCCCGAGAACCGGCCCGGGCAGTGCTGAAGGCGCAGGGCGCTGGGTGCAGCCCGCCCCCCCACAGCTCAGAGGCGGAGGGGCCGCGGGGGGCGGGGGCTCACACTGGGCAGCCAGAGGAGGAAAGGACCCATTGCCAGCCCAAGCCCACCCGGCTCCGGGTCTGCGTCTGAGCCTCAGTGGACACAGCAGAGCTGGCGGGAGGCGGACTCCCGTGGCAGGGGCTCAGACAGGCGAGGAGACACCTTCCGGGGACCCGGCCGCAGGCACCCATTTCTCAGCAAACCTCCTACCCAAGCCACAGGCTGGGCCCCAGCACAGAGACGGATGAGAAGCATGCGCTGACCCGGGCTGGGCCACGGGGGTTCTCCCAGGGAGACCCAGAACTGACCGTCACCAAGTTAGCCATGCACCCCGGAACTGAACGTAGAAACTGGGTGATGAGCCCAGCCACCGGCGCCACAGAGAAGGCGTCAGGGGAGGCATGGCCACAGCTGAGCCGGGAGGTGCAGGGGCCCCGGGGGCTTCTCAGGACCAGCGGTCCCTCCACTGAGGCGCGGAAGAGGCCTCTGCATCCTAAGAGGGGGCAGGAGCTGGTGTGGGCTGCCCCAGTACCTGCAGGCAGACTCCCACATGGAAGGAAACCCCAGGGGGCGGCCTAACTCCCAGACCTCGCCCGGAAGTAAGGGGTCTGGGCTGCTCTCAAGGACAATGACTTCGAGGCCCATCGAGTTCAGGGACACCTGTCATGACGGAGGAAGCGGCCCCTCGGGACAGGCAGGGCCCACCAGCCCACAGATGGCCACGGCCAGGCGACAGGGGACCAGCTCTCCCTACTTCATGGACACCAGGGTCTAAGGTGCGTGTGAGACTCAGCCATTCAGAAGCCGCGCGCCAGGGAGAGCCACTGCCGGTGTCCACCCGGGGGAGGCGAGGGGTTCACGGCCACAAGCCGAGCCCCCGGCCTAATGGAAACACGCTCCGGGGCTCTGTGACTGGGCAGCGAATCACACCAATCGCCCACAACCGCTCTGTGGGGAGGCGACGTCGCCACAAGGACCCGTCATGAGACATGCCCCTTTCTAAGATCTGTTGCAATTTGTGGGGCCGGGTGGGGTGGCCTGCACCTGAGGAAACGGAGCACCCACAGAGAGGAAAGTTAGGTCTGGGAAGAGGACCCCTACTCCCCTGGGGCACAACAACCACCAGCAGGTGCTGAGCTCACAGCTTCTCACCTCACCCCCAAGCAGCTGGCCACCTGACCCCAGAGCGGAAGGGAACCTGAGAGAACATTCTAGACTACCTAGACCAGTGTTCTTGGTGAGGGGCCCCAGGATCACCTGGAGGCTAGAAGACAAACTGCGGACTGCCCCCTTTTTGCCTCCAACCAGTTTCAGGTTTGGTGAGTTTGGGGTGGGGCAGAGAATCGTTAACCAGCCCCCAGGTGACGCTGATGCTGCAAACACCAGATACAGGCCTCGCCCTCAATGTCAGCTCCCCTCCCTCCCCGCCACCACGCTGGCCTGGTGTAGTCAACCCTCGCGTGACCCCCTTCCACTGTCCCCCTACTCTGGGGGCCTGGGTTCCACCTGGGGCAGGTGGGACAGGGCTCCTCCTGAGGCTGAGGAGCGCTATCAAAGGGGAGCCCCCAGGGTGATGCTGCCCAGAGGGTAGGCGTGACAGCCGGTCACCCTGCCACTTCCCTTCAGGCCTCCTCAGTGGCTCCTCCCAGAATCCCCTTCCCTCAGGCTCCCTCCACCTCCCCTCTCCGAGCCGGGCTGACTCCGACCTGATTCTCCACCCCACACCACAAACCCCGAGCATGGACGCCGCCAGTTTGACCCAGGTATCAAGTTCAGGTTGACGCCAAGAAGCAGACGCGGCAGCGGAACTGTCTAGATCGCGTGGAGGTGAGCAGGTGAGTGGAGGCACCGTGGACAGCTGAGCGGCCTCCGGCGCGGCCTCCGAGAGCGAGGGGTAACTGAACCCTGCACAGACGGGCCTCCGCGCCCAGTCTCTGGCTCACTTGAACTTGCCTTGGAGGTGATCAAGGCCACGGCCCCTCACAGGATGACGAGGAGCGACTGTCAACCAAAGGGTGACCATGGGCACTCCCCGAAGCAGGCGCCTGCTGGGCTACCCCTCCTTCCGAACTGTAATTACTAAGGTCATTTTTGCATTGTCTTAGTTTTTTTAATCCCTTCCCATGTGCCCTGAGAAGAAATCTAGATCAAACCCAGAAAGGTTAAGAACCAGCTTAAATTCTAGAAAAACCAAGCGCAAGAACCAAGGCGCAGGCGGGAGACGCCTCCAGCAGGGGGCGCCGGGAGCTGCGGGGCCGCGACCACGCGGGCGGCGGCCGATCCCACCCCGGCGGGGAGACGCGCAGCCGAAGCTTGCCCGTGGGGTGAGGGCGCACAAGAATCACCCAACAAGTGCTCCCTGGTTCCTCTGAGATGCGAAAGCTCACAAGGCGCTGCCCCTGCCCCCCGGGAGCTCACGATCCCGAGGAGACGGCCCAGGCCCAGGCGCGGGAAGGCCGCCCAGGAGGGGTTCGGGAGCCAGGAGGTAATGGTTGCCCACTGGGGATGTCCTCGACAGCACTGCGGGTGGTGAGCTGTACATTGTTTGTAAAGAATGTGGATGGATGAAAGCGGTGGTTCTGCAGTGTTACTCTGCCTTCCCAGGGCCTGCGGAGCTTTTAGAAAACCAGATTCCCGGGTCACCCACATACCAGCGAAGTCAGAATCATGGGGGGCTAAGACCCAGGCACCTACACCCCTCAAGAGTCTCCAGCATGCAATGGTCAGCCTTGTTTGAGACGCAGACCTGAGCAGGGTGGGAGGGAGGGAGGGGCCCTGGGCCTCCACAGGGCCTGGTTCCTGAGACTCCCACCCTCCCCCTGACCCTGAACACTGAGTTTTAAAACTTGCTCTCCTAGCTGCAATCTCATTGGACCCCACAGAAAGTATTCCTGCAGGATCCCCTCCGCAGGTGCCGGCCCCAGGCCAACCCAGGTCTCCCACCCAAATCCCAGACTCTTGTCCCTCTGGACAAGAAAAGTCGAGTCAGACCAAAGACCATTAGCACTAAAAAATATTTTTTTTAAATCCATCACTGGAACATGGAAGGACATTCCAATACTGCTTCACTACATGGTTTGAATTATTCAAAGCACTTACAAAATAATTAAGAAGCCAAATAAAAAGTTAGCTAAACACTCATCAGTGATATTATTGATAATAGGAAAAAGCTGGAAACAACCTTAAACCCATCCACAGGGGTTGGTTTAGATTAAATGAAGTTGTAAAAAAAAAAAAGTCAACTGTCAGGATGGGCAAGGTTTAGTAAGAGGATCCACAAAATGCCATTTTTGTAAAGAAAAATGTTGGGGGGAAATGGACAAAATAGAGACGGGACAGGAGAAACCATGGCTGGGGTATGAGATTGCGGGGCAATCTTTATTTCTGCTCTCTTTGCTAATCCAGATTCTTCTAAATTTTGGTCACAGGTATAACCTTTCTAAAGAGGAAAAAAAAAAGCTTATTTTAGAAGAAGCCGTTTGCTGCTTTCTTCAGGTGCCTGCGATAGTCTTGTAACTATGAAAGAAGTTCCGTCAGCAAGCCAGGTAAGACTGCTTCACGCCGTGCGCCTCCCCTAGGAAAGCACCTCAATTATTGCAGCAGTTCCTAGGGCCCGACAGGTGAAAGCTGTATCTACAGGCACATTAACAAGCCTCACCATTCAGGGGGGAAAAGGGCAGATTGGCTCAGCGGTCTCCAACCTGGAGTCTCTGAAACTGGAAATTCTCGGCAAACAAGAGTTATTTCAAGTCTTTTCTATTCAGGCCAGTGGCTGTGAGGGATACCTTCCTCTGCAACTGGATGGGCAAATTTCACTAAAATACCCACTGCCTTCGCTTCTACCTAGGGTCACTGCAAAGCGGCCTGCAGCTGGTGTGGGGGGAGAGACCTGGGCTCTGCGGGTGCAAGCCGAGCCTCAGCTTTCTCTTCTGGGAAACAAGCGACTCCCCCCACCTGCCTTCATGCTCCTGTTTTTCACTGAAAATAAGGCACCATCTTTACATCGTTAAAATGACCTTTAAGGCCCTATTTGATCTGCCTCTTCAACCTGACCCGGGACCACTCTCCCCTTCCCCGACTGCTTCACCTCCTGCCGCCACCCCTGGCCTCTGCACCCACAGCGGCTGGGCCTGGACCCAGTTTGTATCCGCTTGGCTGAGGCTCCCCAAGTCTTTGCTCAAACGCCCCCCCCCCATGATGCCCACCCTCTTCCCCAGCCCGGTCCTTCTTAATTCCTGACTTTCTGTGGCGCACGGCCCCTTGTTCGCCGTCTACACCCTGCGGCTTCACTGGCTGCCAAGGGCTGCGCCCCGCGGCCCCCCACGCGCGCCGAGAGGGAGCAGGGCCCCCCCCCCGGGGTGGCGCCCCCAGCGCTCTGCGCAGCCAACCCTCAGAGGACCCACCCCCGCGGCGCAGCCCCTCTTCTCCTCAAAGCCCCCCGTTGTGTGCTTCTGACGAAACCACTAGAAAACCGAAGCGTCCTGGCGCGCAATCTGCTCGGGTCGCGAAACCCAAGTCGGCTGGAAATGCCCACAACCTGCAGCTCCCACGAAATCCTTCAAAACGTGGGGTCTCTGTAGTTCTTTAAAGAAAGAACTTTGTTGCTGTTGTTCAAAGACTGGGGGAACCGGGGTGAGCGCATCCCAGGGGTTCGTTTCCGGGGATCAAAATACAAAAACAAACGGTGGGACGTCGGAGCCTGGCCCGGCGGCCCCTCGCCTCCCGCCCGCGCCGCCCGCGCCGGGCCCGCGCCCTCACCGTCTCCCCGCGGATGCCCTGGGCGCCCCTCCACTGCGAGGGCACAGACGCCACGCCCAGGGTCTCGTCCTGCAGCGGCCCCGGCCGCCCGGGCCCCGCGCCGCTCGCAGCCCCGCCTGTCGCCAGCTCGCCGCTCCCGAGCTTCCCGCCGGGCCGAGCTGCCTGGGCTGCGCGCGGGTTGCTGTGGAAACGGCTCCGCCCCCCTGGCGCCGGCGCACTGGGACGCGACCTTCGCCCCCGCGCCTCCGTAGCGGAAGACTGGGAAGATGAGGCTATCGGCGCCATTTTTCAATTGGTGACAGCGCCTCCCCAAGGCCTCGGAGAAAGAGATTAATGGTTTATTTTCGGCTGGTGCGATAAGTTTGACTAGTTTTGAAGACTCCATTTCCAAAAGGGACACGCTGGGGGCACGTAGGGATACTCCCAGAAGGGAAAGTAGTGCGGAAATTGGGCACCTCTGCCAGGCTCAAAGATGGCGCCGAGAGGCCAGGCGCAGAGGCGACGGCGGGACACTGCGGCCGGGGCTGGGTGGAGTGTTCTGGAGCCGTGGGGCGCAGCACTGTTTGAGCAGCCGGGTGCTCCCAGCAGAGCCGAATACCGCTGAGCTCCAGTTAGCTGACGCCTCGAAGCCAGGTGCTCCCCCTCTGAGTCTCAGTGTCTGCCTCAATAGAATGGGGATTTTTTTTTTTTTATTTATGCATACAAGAGCTGGGACAGAGGCCAGCGGGGCGGGGCGGGGCGGGGGGGGGGGGGTGAGAAGATTCACCAGAGACAGAGTGGGGAACAGAACAGGCAGGTTGACTGAAAACACTGCTGAGGGGAGAAGGGGGCGAGTCAGGTCTGCTGCGCCATGTGAATTGCTCCCTGGCTGGCGGGGGATCGAACTCGTGCTGCAGTGGCTGCGCATTGCTTTAGAGGTTGCATCTTAACCCTTGCGCCACCAGGGAGGCCTAATAGAATGGTGATTTAAGAGATCTCCATGCAAACCTGAACCGGACCACATCTTTTCGTGTTAATTGAAAATGATTCGCTTAATCAGAGAGTCAAAAATCGTTGCAGACAAGGGGGCAGAAATGTACCCCTACTTACTGAGAAGGCTGAAGCGCATAGCTATGACCAAAGTCACGACCATGAGCTGGCCGAATTCTTATAGAAAACCCTTCAGAAGGCCTGGGATGACTCCCATTCCAGGGACTAGCAAGCCACGTACTCAGTGACATAGATGTGTTCCCACCAACTAAAACTGTGCTGTGGACCCACAGTGAAAGGGTGAGAGCACAACGCCAAGGTAAGAGGCAGGGGGAGCAGCACCTCCTTCCTGCACCTCCCTCACCTCGCACCCATTTGCCACTTCCCTGGTGGTACCCTGCAGTGTTGGAGTTCTGCAAGGACTCTCTGGGCCCTGAAGCCAGAGAAGCAGGCAGCAGCAATCCATTGATCCTGGTTACCACCGCTGGGAGCCCATGAGACCCTTGGGGCGCCCTAGAACATGAGTCCCAAAAGGCTGGGTGGTGGATCTTCCTGTAGCAGTTCCAAAGCCTTATACAACCAAAGTAGGAACGTGACCACGAGAACCCGAACTGCACCAGGTCCTATGGAGATATCTACTCAATGGCAGGAATGGCTGCAAGTTCAGCTGAGCTTCAAACCTCAAGGGGAATGTTACATTGTCACCAAATAGGGAATGGTGTGCTTGCAAGAAGGAACTAAGACCTGATTGGGAACAGAGAAGCCATTCAGTCATGGCAAGCAATCAGAAGAGCAATGATGGACTTGAGGGCTCCTTATTTACAGCCACCTGAGCCAGTAGGCCCCTAAAGGCACACTGTTAACTGGAGCACCACTCTTCTATCATAAAGCTCCTGAAACCCTAAAATTAAGACATGAGCTCCAATCTCATTATGAGTCAGGGCTAGATGGGTCAGTTAACGACTCCAAACAGGCCTTCTATATGTTGGACCCCAAGATGCTGAGGGCATACCAAACCTCACCCAGAATCTGGCCCACAGAGGGCTGGTCCTGAGCTCTGGCAGAGGCTATATCCGTACCATGCTGGCAAGCTCCTCACCAGAGGGCTGTCCTGAAGGAAGCCATCATGAAGTCCAGGAAGAGGCCTGGGGGGAGTGCACCGGCCCCCAAGTTTGGGACACTCAGTGTAACAGCTTTCACAAGTCCCTACGTGTTGGTACCTTGGCATTGGCCAACCCAGAGGCTTCAACGGCCAGGCTACCTCCTGGCCACTGTCTGGTCACAAATAGGTTCTAAAAACCATGAGGGGAGAAAAAAAACCATGAGGGTGAAATCTGGGAGCAATGAGGACCAGCTGTTTGGGCACACAAGGAAATGCCGGAAGACAAATGGAGGCTTGAGCAGCTATAACACTCCCTATACACAAAACCCCCCACCATCCAGAGTGTGCTTGAGGAGCTGGAATCACAGATGAGGTTGTATATAGAAATATGCTTGGGCCTCCCAGATGGTGCAGCGGTTGAGCGCTGGGTTGCGAAGCTGCCCGCAGCCTCTGCAGCGCCGGTTCGATCCCCAGCTGCTCCCCGGCCACCGGAGGAGGGTCCCACATGGCGCACAGACCTCTCCTGCCGCCCGCTGCTCCCCTCAGCAGTGTACTTCGGTCCTTCTGCCTGCTCTGCTCCCTGCTCTGGCTCTGGTGAATTCTCTCACCCCCCCGCGCTTCTGACTGTACCCATTGCTTATATAAATAAATAAATAAATCTTTAAAAAAAAAAAAGAAATATGCTTGTCGAAATTCAAGACCCAAATAACTTCCAGTTATTGTGTGACAGCAAAGACTCTAGTTTCACACATGTGAGTCTTATTCAATCCTCAAAACAACTCTGAAGAGACGACTGTTAGACAATAGATAAAGCAGCTGACGGTCAGAGAAGTAACTGCTCAAGGTCACCTTGTAAAGCCCAGCTCACATTTGCCAAGGACTCAAGGATGGCTGCTTGGCACCGAAGCCTAGTTCTGAACTCTTGGCAGGAGGCCTCTGGTCAGGTCCTCTGGGCCACTTTCCTCTTATCCCCGGACTCTCAGGGGACCTGAGAATCAGAGGAAACTGCCCAATCAGAGGCCCCTTTGCACTGCCCCCCAGTTTTGCACTGCTCCTCTTTAGGCTTCCCTTCAGCCAAGGCCACAAAGATTAGATTAGCAACACTGGAAAAAACACAAAAGAAATTCCTTCCTAGAAAGAAAGTAGAGCCAGACAAAATTCTCCTGGATTCTCCTTTTCACACCAAAAGAATCTCCAAACCGGGCCTCCCTGGTGGCACAAGGGGTTACGATGCAAACTATGAAGCTGTCTGCAGCCTCTGCAGCCCCAGAGGCCAGGGAGCTACCCCCATGGCACAGCAGACCTCTCCTGTCTCCCTGCTGCTCCCCTCAGCAGTGTATTTCAGTGAGTCTGCCCGTTCTGTTCCCCACTCTGTCTCTGGTGAATCCTCTCAGACCCTGCATCTCTGGCCTGCACCCCAGCTCTTGTATGCATAAATAAATAAATCTTTAAAAAAAAAAAATCTCCAAACCTCCAAGGATTCTAAAACTCACACTCACAAAAGAAGCTCAAGTCTGTGGGTGTCGGGAGGTCTGAGTGGCCCTGGGTCCTCACAGTCGTGCTGCTTCCCTGCATCTTAGTGTTCTGTCTGCAGCGTGAGCTCATGCAAGAGGCCCTGCCTTGCCTGCCATCGAAGGGCACTAGTTCAGGAAGAGAAAGGCAGTCCTGCGTGCTGTGTGGCCAAACACATCCACAGTGATAGAGATCAGTCCTCAAAATTGGCATTTTGGGTGATAAAGAACAATTCCAGTGGAGTGATGGGGACAAAAGCCAGCCTGCAGAGGATGTCCGGAAGAAAAGGGGAAGTAGAGAAAACAGCCAACATTAGGAAGAACCTAACACAGGAATCGGGTATGATTGTAAATTGGGAAAACCTAATTGGAGGGTAATTGGACCTTAAAGTGTGCCCCCTCTTTCAACTAGAAATCTCACTTCACGAAGATGAAAACAAAAAAAATTCTGGGCCTTGCTGGTGGCAGAAAGGGTTAAGTCTCAGCACTGTGAAGCTATCAGCAGCCACTGCAGCACATGTTCGATCCCCGGCCAGGGAGCAACCCACATGGCGCAGCAGACCTCTCCTGTCTTGTCCACTGCTCCCTTCAGCAGTGTATTTCAGTAGATCAGCCTGTTCAGCTCCCCACTCTCTCTGTGAATCCTCTCATCCTCCCATCTCTGGCCTACACCCCAACTTTTGTATGCATAAATAAATATAATAATTCTCTAAAAAAATAGCTTTACTGTGACCCTTCAGTCATCCTCAGTTTCTAAGCTGAGTCTCCAGGTACACTGCAGGTGTCATTATGTATTGGAGAAAGCTGGCTTGTGGTATGCTTCTGACACAATTCTTATGTAGATGTTTAAGAGTGGCAACTGTTGGGCCTCCCCAGTGGCGCAGCGATTGAGGATTGAGCGCTGGGTCTTGAGGATTGAGCGCTGGGTCGCAAAGCTGCTCACAGTCTCTGCCATGTCGGTTCGATCCCCGACTGCTCCCCAACTGCTCCCCGGCCACCGGAGGAGGGTCCCGCATGGCGCGCAGACCTCTCCTGCCGCCCGCTGCTCCCCTCAGCAGTGTGCTTCGGTCCTTCTGCCTGCTCTGCTCCCCGCTCTGGCTCTGGTGAATTCTCTCACCCTCCCGCGCTTCTGACTGTACCCAGTGCTTGTATAAATAAACAAATAAACAAACAAATAAATAAATAACTTTAAAAAAAAAAAGAGTGGCAACTGTTAAATGTTTAAGGCATAGAAAAGTTTTCTTAAGATGCTATTTACCCACAGTGTATCCTTTTTATTTTTTTAAAAGATTTATTTTATTTATACAAGAGCCGGGGTACAGGCTAGATGTGCAGGAGGGTGAGGGGATTCACCAGAGACAGAGCCGGGAACAGAACAGGCAGCATGACTAAATACACTGCTGAGGGGAGCAGCAGGTGGGACAGGAGAGGTCTGCTGCGCCATGTGGATTGCTCCGAGGCCAGCGGGGATCGAGCCGGCACTGCAGAGCTTCACAGCACTGCGCTCAACCGCCTGCGCCATCAGGGAGGCCCTAAAGATTATTTTTAAAAAAGATTTATTTATTCATACAAGAACTGCGGTACAGGCCAGAGGTGTGGGAGGACGAGAGGATTCACCAGAGACAGAGCGGGGAGCAGAACAGGCAGATCTACTGAAATACACTGCTGAGGGGAGCAGCGGGGAGACAGGAGAGGTCTGCTGC